GAGCCGCGGCGGGCGTCTCTCGCGCCGCCATGAACGAGTAAAGCTTCAAAGTTCGAATAGCATATCCACACCAAGGACGGAGAGCCCCAGTGGCGCCCCGGAGGGGCTGTACTACAATATCTCTTGCATCCCTGCTTTTTGCTCAGAGGCTCAGAGCTGAATTGCAAGAACATCTTTGGTCGTCGCGGTCAGTGGGAAGGCGCATCGCGATCTACGGCCTTTTCCGGCCGCGGAGCGTTGCAGGCTCCGACGCGCGGTCACGTGCCTTCCATATTCGGCTCCCGAGTACGCGTTCGAGCACCTGTCAGGCCATATGTTGTGCTCCGAGCATGAGCAGGCAACAACATCGGTACCAACAAGTCATGGCTGGCTGATAACAAGGAGAACTGATGGTACTGGGACCCCTATGCTCACACGGGTCACTATATCGGGGTTTCGGCCCGAGCACGGCGGAGCTGCGCGCGCACTGTTCGCGTTTTGTCTTTGCGCCACCATGGACTCTGGCAGTGGTACCCAATATCTGATCTACGCGTCTATAACCCCGTTCGCTTTTCAGCTGCGTAGAACCTGGTCCAGACCAAACCGTGGTAGCTGACAGGTCATGAACAATGCGCCCTCCGAGTCCGACTCGCGAGGCGCCAGGGTCTGTAGGGTTTGATGAGGTGTCCGTACTTGGACGGAACAGCCATCGCGGATGATGAAGATGGCCTACGTGGATGAGGCGCTCGTACTTGGAGTGCATGCGGCCGCAGACGTTTCATTCAGGTAGAACCATGAGCCAAGACTCTAAGGGCCACGTAGTGGGCTATCGCGAAGTATAAGTGTCGCCCAACAACTGCTCGCCCTGCGAGCTCCTCTTCGCCCTACCAGTTTGCTTGGTACATGTACCTCTGAATATCTTTAATGCAGCAAATCTGACAAACGGACAGCACTCTACCCTTTCAAGTCTATTCGCACGTCATCGGCAGTCCGCGCGGATACAGCTACCTCAGTACGCCATAACCCAACATCTTCATCGCATGCCAATACCAATATACTCACATCACTCGCAGGTAGATGCAATGGTTGCCAAAGCAAAACTCGTTCAATGCCCCGCCTGCAAAGGCACCAAGAAACTCGCCTGCCCAAAATGTCTCGGCCGCTCGCACGCCGTCAAATGCCGGCGCTGCCACGGCCAGGGTCGTGGCACCCTTCCCGGTTCCGCGACCGTTTATCGCTGCGATGCCGGGTGCAATGCGAACGGAGATTGGGCGGCGTGCCGCGTGTGCTGGAACGACGGATGGGTCAGAGGCAAGGAATGCACGAATTACAAGAACTGGAATCCGTACGCTAAGCATGCGCCGTTGAGGGAGGACTGCGAGAAGTGTCACAGGGCCGAGTACTTCTCGATCTGCACGGCTTGTAATAAGGAGGGGAATGTGGTGGTGACCGTCAATTGATTGGCGCCGGTGAACTGCCAACTACGTACATCGTGCTACTTATCCTGCTCGACACGCCCTCTAGGAATGGCATTGCGGACTGGGAACTATCATCCTCAAGTAAATGATGAATGATGAATATCGATCGACAGGCAAGAGTGATGCTGAGGCGCGAATCGGGCGCCCGTCTATAAATGTCTGCACCGAATGTGATCCTAGGGATGAGGTTAGCGACCTCTCGTTCTCATACTCCACTGGATACTTCCACAGTATCTGGTCACACGGTTTGAAGACGCCGCCCTTCCATACAGTACGTGCACCCCCTCCAGTTTGTATGACATGCGAAAGCCTTATTCCCTCTAGAAGACTCCTCCCAAAGTGGATTAAGATAAGACCGTCGAACCATTCGCTCACTACATGTACGTTTATCTCGCGTTCACATCTGGTGCTATGCTGAGTCATACCGTCATCGCAGGTACAATGGCGCGACGGGTCCGATGCATGACGTGCAATGGCAGGAAACGGCTACAATGCCATAGCTGCCATGGGCGATCGCAAGTCGCCAAATGCAATAGCTGCCACGGAACGAAATTCGTCGTCACCCGAGGAGCTCAGCGGCAAAGGTGCAACGCTGGATGCAGTCCTTTCGGCAGCGTCTGACCCTGTACTGCATGCTGGAACGACGGATGGGTGAATGGTCGAGAGTGCCTGTCGTGTAAGAACTGGCCACGAGCCCAGAAACATGCGCAGCTACGAGAGTTTTGTGGGAAATGTTGTAGAGTCGGGACTGTGGCCTGCTCAGCTTGTCGTGAAACTGGGATTGTATGGATGTGAGTTGCAGTTCGGTAGACGGTAGCATAGTCCTCGAGTGCTGGCGAGAGGCGCCGCTGGTGGATGAATGATGCGATCTTATGCGGCGTTGACACCCGCGTCTCTTGACCGATACATATACGCCACAAGCTCTGTGCGAAAGTATTGTCAGGAATGGGAAACAGACATCCCGTTGGGACGGGAAAGGTAAGAAAAAATCAATCGACGGACCAAGCCAGCATCTGGCGCAATCAACACGCTCTTCAGTAACTCATGCCATCACTTCAATATTCTTAGAGCCCGCGTTACAATCTTGAGCAGAACACTATCTCGTTGACGCGCTTCAACTTCAAGTGCTTCGACACCGTGACCCTAATAATCGTGGTCAGGGGAAACAAGGGCGCTTTGCGCAGGCTTCGCGTCGTGTCGCGGATCGGCCATGGGCTCCGACGCGCGGTCACGCGACTTCCCTACTCGACTGTCTACCACGCGTACGGGATACTTATCACGACGGGAGTACCGCTCAAAGCCGGCTAAATACCCTATGTGCTTGGGCTTCATGAGTGAGGGGCTAATAACAAAGAGAACCCTACAGGTATTGAGAACACCGTGCATACGGCTTCAAACCGAGCTCGGCGGAGCACCCCGCCGCGTTCTGTCCTCAGACCACCATCGCTTCAGTCATCTGACTGAGCATCTCTCGAAGATCCATAACCGAATGACACGGTACATTTTTTTGATAAAAAGAGGAAGCTCCGTGCACTGTATGCACAATCAAGAGCACAGGTATCGGGACTGCAGTACCAACATTAAGTATAACCGAGTTTGCGCAAATACCATCAGGGAAGAAGAGACTCCTGAGAGCATGCACCCGTTGACGTTACTGTGCAAATAAGGGAGGTTCCTCAGTAATCACTACCCGTAGTGTCTTGGGGCACAGACCCCGAAGCCGTTCTTTCTCTGGCCGCGTCATCTTGACAAGGTATCCCTACAACAAGCAGACATCAGCGTCGAATGCAATTCACCACGCAGCGTTAGCTTGATTCTAAGAGAGCAACCCACTAGTCCGGGTGCCTTGAGATAGAAAAGCCGGTGGGCTTCCACCTGATCCAAATAGCTATCAAGCTTCCTGAGTGCCTCTAATGGATTTGCCATTGTGTGCCCGCTTCGAATCTTGACAGTGAACTCTATCATTCTACCGATGAACTTCGCAAGTGACAAGCCGTATGAGACAAGCTTGCCTGGCCTCGTATCATCACAGTCTCCGGCAGCTTGATCTTGATTCGGATCGATCCTTGTGGCGGGTCGATTGGCGCCCCGCGTATTCTGCCAATTGAAGGTCAGGATCAGCAACAGTAAAGATCGAAGCATTGGTATGACTCACAGTGCCTCGGTTACCTCTCTGGTCACTGTGCACATCACTGACTACACCACTCTCCGCACCACCTTGCCTGTTTGTGAGCCCTTGTATCAATTGCTCCCGAGCTCAGATAACTAACGCGCCGAAGGATTAAGAGACTCGATCGAGTTGGTACGCGTCTGGCGCGCTTTCGGTATCGGTCGGGGTGCCAGTTTGTGTGGTGAGAACCATCGACTAGTAGGGGAAGTCGGTCCTGCGTATAGAGTGCTCGACACAAGGCGCCCATAAGCGAAAGTCATACTACCTAGATCATGGCGCAGGCTCTCAGATGGAGCTTGAGCACGGGGAACACGACCCCCGACATCCCTAAGGCTGGTTGTTTCCAAATCATCGTCTTCGCCGTTGTGACCAACGCCCCCAACACGCCTTATTCCGTCTATATCCATCCCCTCTTCCCTCCTACGCTTCCGATTTCCTTCACCGTTACCAAAGAGTGAACCCTCGGGCCGATATCTGCCTGCCGATCGTCTGTTGTTGGAATGCCCTGTCGAGTCAGAGTGGGAGCCGTATTCTGCCATCACCACTACGCCTATGTATCCGCTTCACAACTTCAAGGTCGTAGTATCGCCGTGAGCGCTGGAGGGAGGAGGGCCCTGCATGGTCGTGGTGTGAGCGGAAGAGCAGCTACTAATATAGTAGTCACAGCAGAAATCTCACGACGATCCATTATGCCAGTTTACCTTCCGCGGCGCACTGCACTGCCTATATGTAGGCATTGTCCTTGTCTTCGGGTGCAATAAGAAAGTCCCAAACATGAGGCAAGCGTCCTGCGCAGAGCTCCCTTGGTGCGGAGAAGGGCGCGCGGGTTACGAGTCAGTTGTAGTGTCGCAATGAAATCTCTCCGCAGAAACGGCGAGCTTTGACTGGGGGAAAGGTCGAGACTTCCGACGGGGGCGGCATGCAGTAGAAGAGGCGCGCGAGGCTGTGTAATGCGCGCTGGCAGGTGCCGGGTGGGAGCCGTGGACTTCGATCCGCTTTCATACGTGCATTTCCATTGTAAGAGATATGAGCGTGAGAAGTTTCTCAACATGATTTCGTAGCGCTGCTCTACACTGTGATGGTGGAGAGCAAGTAAGTCGCGGCGCAGACTCGCAGCTCGCCGGAGCCGCGTTGATCGTCGACGCGCGGTCACGCGAGTTCTTAGATCAACGAGTGGGCTGGCTGATACGAGTGTGGGTAACTCTCAAGCGAGAAGCATTTCTCAGAGCTGGCTTTCCTGGATGACTCTGCTGAACAACGACGGAGATTTAAGGGAATCGGGATACCATGAGACCATATGTGTCACCATATCGGCTAACCGGCCCGAACACGGCGGAACCGAGGCCCCGTACCCGCGTCCGCTTTGCCTTTGCACCACCATGGGCTCTTCGAACTACGTTAGCTCTCTCGCTCACACGATCTAAATCTACTGCATGGAATACGCGTGCGTTTGACGTCGCACATGTACAGTTCATGTAGCGAGTGGCGAATATGTAGTATACTGGATGTTTTCGTTTAAGAGTTCTTCGACAAAGTCGATGTTGTTTGGGCTGATACACGTCTGGATACCTCAACAATGATGCACAGGAGCTACTAGTAGCATTTAAACTACCGCGTCTAGTTCGGACCCAACAGTCCTGACAACGGATCGTCCGGAGATGGTGGATGAAATAGCACTTCGGGTCCCTTACTAGGTGACGCCTTCGTTTTATGCACTCTCCGCAAGTCCGCGGACGCAGAGGCGAGATCAACAGTTATAGTACATGGTCTAAGCTAACTCTCGCGTCATGCTCTGTACATATTTTGCCCTGTAGGTTTCAGCCCATAGTGTAGGTCCGTAGCTCTATTTCGAGGCTTCAAAGTTGCGCCAAAAGGATACCGTGATACGTATACGTACAGACGGCGCTATATAAACCGCCAAGTTGATCTCTCCCCTCCAACACCCTCAACTGCTTTAAGCCTTTGGCACCAACTACGCACCTCTCTCGGTGAGCCATCAATGCGCCACAACGGCATTCCATGTTCTTAACTTTGCGTACTCACTACTTGTCACGGTGAGAGTCCTCACCATCGGCAGCACTATGGCAAGATGGTCCAAATGCACTACATGCAGTGGCACTCGGCGCCGCGTATGCCAAAGCTGCTACGGCCGCTCGCGCTTCGCGAAGTGCAACGGCTGCAACGGAACAGGAGTTGTGCTCCTCGGCGGCGCTAGATACAGGTGCAACGCAGGATGCTCCGCCAAAGGCGACGTTTGGCCCTGCGGGACATGCCGCAATGTCGGATGGATTGGCGGGGTAGAGTGCAGCATGTGTCGGAATTGGGGCGCGTACGCGAAGCACGCCGTTCTGCGGGATGACTGCGAGACCTGCCATAGGGTTGGATTCGTAGGTTGCGTGCGATGCAAGGATACGAATGGATATGTGCTCTGTGCGAACTGAGTAGCACTGAAGCTCGGGATTGAGATTAGCGACGTCACCACTGTAGAGTCTGTGTGACGGACACAACTCCCTACCCATATGGATGTGGGCCGGATACTGGACCCTAAGCTTCATGAAAGACCGTCAACAGTAAAAAGCAGGCACGCACAGATGCGATGGGGTAGAGATCAAGAATATAAACCATATCGTAAGTGATAAAAAGAGGCGAGCTGTAAGATACGGCATACGGGTACAACGTCAACATATACACGTCTCAGTAACACAGCAACAATGTACAAGAAAATAACACACAACATGGCACACAGAACACGATGCACGACATAAGACACACAGAACACGGGGGACAAGATGACACAGCATATCACACGGCGAACTCGAGCCATAGCATAACCACCGCACACACCTGGCCACCCTACTCCTCATCCATCATATCCCTCAACTCCGCCCTCGCCTCCTCATCATCCAAACCCGCAATATGCGCATACGCCCCCGCATGCGTCTCGGCACAATGCGCGCTCATCACGGTCCTCAACTGGTCCGGCATCGAGCCGTCGCCCGTCGAGTATACGGGCACCGGCCACGACTCGTCCGCTTCTTTGCGCGCCCTACACATCATTAAGTCAGTCACGATGCATGAGGGAAGGAGATGAGAAGGAGGGAGAGACGCACAGACACAACCGACAAGCCCACCCGCCCAGCCCCTCCTCAACCTCATACAACAGCGCCAGATGGTCCGGCCCCAACACCCTCATCTCCGCGGGTTTATCATCCGGCAACCGCGGTAACTCGCCGCTATGTCCGCCCTCGAGATCGACGGGTACATGCTGAAGGGCCGCCATCGGGTACTGCTGTTGCAGCTCGTACGGATGTGGCGGACCAGTATACGGTCCGTTATACCCTGATTGCTGCCGCATACGCAACAGCTCTTCGGACTGTAACACTGGCGAATGGTCTGGCTCTCCGGAGTGTCCTTGAACGAACGCGCCGGGATCGAATGCACCGCTGCTGCCCTGGACGAACGGACTCGGCTCGTACTCCGCGGGCGTAACAGGCGCAGAAGCCGATACCGGCACCGCAGTTGCAGGTTCAATCGGCACGCTCCGAGTCCGCTCCATAGGCGGTGCCGAGGATACAGGTAATGGCGGCGGCGGCGCGGGCGTGGGCGTCGTAGGCGGCGGAACGTCGACTCGCGGCGTAGGAGGAACGGCTGCGCGCGGGGTAGCATTCCCGGCGTACGCAGCTTCCACGATGCCCTCCACAACCCCGCTCGCACTCTGCGCCTTCGCAATCGCGCCCAGAATCTGCTGTATATCCGTCTTCTCCCCGTTCTCGGCCTCTGTAAAGCTTTGGAGGAAGTTATTCACGAAGGCCGTCTTCGCGCCGGATGTCATAGCCGGGAGCGCCGTCGTTGTCTGTTGAGATGGCGGGTGGGATTGCGAATTGGTGGTATCGGTGAGCGCGCGCGGATCAATCGAGCCCTGCTTGCCCGGCGCCTCTTCGCGCTCGACCATCCTCGCAGTCGCGGCGCGGAGACGCGGCGTAGCGTCGGGCGTAAGCGTCTGCTGGATCTGCCTCTCGCCGGCCAGATGCGGACTGACGATCTCGCCCTCCTCCAACTCGCTCCGCGCCAATGCGTTATCGTCAAGTGACAGCCTGGCCCGCTTCACGGCCCGTCCCTCGCCCGCGCCCGAGCCCGATGTGTCCGATATATCCGTGCCGACGCCCGAGTCTGAGCGCGCACGGCGGCGCGAGGGCGAGGAAGAGTCGTCCGTTGCACGCGGGCTCGATTGCGGGACTTCAGGTTGAGCTGTCGATGTCGATGCGTAATGCTCGACGTCCATCTCCTCCGGCTCATCCGTAAACGCCATCGCCTCTCCCCCATCCGCATCCGCATTCTCGATCTCATCAAGCGTAAGATCAATAGTAACCCTCTCCCCCTTCTCCCTCTTAATCCTCCTCTCCTTCCTCTCCTTCCTCGCCTCTTCCTTAACCCCAACAAACTCCTCAGCACAAACAGCCCTCACCAGCCCCTCAACAGCCCTAATCTCCTCCTGCACGCCCTCCAGCGCCCGAATAGCCCTCACATCCTCCTCGCTCCCGCCCCCGCTCAGCGCCGCCAGCGCGCGGTTCTTCTCGGGGCCGAGGTTGAGGAGTATAAGCGCGTCTTGTGGCGAGAATGTGCGGAGGCGGGCGCCGAGCTCGGCGAGGAGGCGCGCGCGGACGTCCGAGGGCGCGGGCGTCGCGTTCGGGTTGGTGGGTGATGTCAGGGATACGCTGGGTGCGCTGGAAGGTGGAGCGGACGCGGGAAGACCCGCGCGCAGCCTGAGCGCGTCCCGTAACGGCGAGCGCGGATCGTTGAGCCCGACCAGCGCCATGCGCGCCGCTTTGGGCAGGTTCAGCAGTGTTTGACTCGTGCTCCGATTCTCACTCTGCTGAGGCGATGACGACGATGACGAGGATTGGGATGACGACGGCTGGGGCGCGGGCGGGCGTTCGGGATACGCCGGCAACCCCGCCAACGCCTGCCCGTTCGCGTCTGTAGCAGCCGCGACGAACCCTGCCGCGCTCGCCATCCCCATCTGCGGTATCGGTACGGGTAGCGGTTGCGAATGAGATTGCTGGCCCGCCGCGCCCTGATTCTGCCGATGGATCATACTCATAGCCTGCATCCTCAGCGCATTCCTATTCTGCGCCTGGCTCGGGTGCTCCGCGAGCTGGAGGAGCTGTTCGGGCGTCAGGCCTGGGACGTGCGCTGGGGCTGCCTGGCCTGGAACTGGAACGTGCGACGGGTGGAGTTGGGAGGGTACGACGTGCGACTGCGTCGGTGGTAGGGGGACACCATAAGGCTGAGGCTGAGGAACAACAGGCTGTACCCCTTGCTGACTCGGTACAACAGGCGGAGCTACGACGATTGGAGCTCCATTGGGCGGTACGGGTATATGGAACGCGCCCGCTTGAACAGCGCTTGGGGGTCGCGACGCCGTACTCGGCCTCGACTGCGCCTGAGGCTGAGGGACGGGCCCGCCGTTGAACACGGGCACCGTACTGACCCCGTTCCCGTTGAGCGCGCCAGTTCCACTCCCGTTGAGCGCGACGGGCGACTGATGCGCCCCCGTAACAGGACTCTGGAACATAGCCGGACCGGTGGGCACGACGGGCGAGGCGAACGTGCTCGGTCCACCCTGCACGACCGGGCTCTGGAACGCGCTGTGAGGACCTTGGGCGGATGTGGAGACGACGGGCGAGCCAATCGTCGTCGAGCCGGTCGAGAACCGCCTGTGCGCGCCGTTCTGAGCTTGGGTATTCACGGACACGGACATGGAAGTAGAGCTTTGAGTTGAAGGGCGCCGTTCGCGGTCGGAGGTGTGCGGACGCGGTTGTGCATTGGATGAGGAAGAGGAGGACGAAGCGCGGTTGGACCGTTTGAGGAGCACGACGTCGGATAACGTAGCTTTTGCCGCGCCGCATTGGCATTGTTGGATGCACTGTGTGGTAGAATGTAGGTCAGCGTCGTCGTTTTTCAAGATCAGACAAGATAAGTGGGGAGGATGGGCGGAGTGCGGGCGTCTGGGAGCTGCGTAGGAGTTGCGAGGACGGTAGACAGCGACGCGTATAGCCTTGCAAATCGAATACCATGTTGCCGAGAAAAGTCGTCAAGAGTTCGCGCGGTAGACCGGGTTTGGGTGAGGTACGCGGTGTTCGGGGGTGCTGCCTGAGGGTTGAGAGTACGGTAGACAGCGACGCATATAGCTTTCAAGACTGAATGACATGTCGCCGAGATGCGTCGTCGAATCCACGCGGTGTCCCAGGCTGTGGCACCAAAGCCAATCATCATTCCACAGCATAAAGCCAAAAACGCCTATCACCCCCCGCGCTAAAGCCCGAAGCCCAAATCCGCAGGCCAGCAAGTACAGCAACCAACAAACAGATCAGCACCCGACGAATGGCTGATTGGGCGGGTTGGTCGATGTTGGTAGGCGCAGGGAGCGTGCGAAGGCTAGGAACCGATGTGATGCTTGACGAAGATGGTGAGGCTGCAGGTCGGGTGGGGCGGGCCGATGTCCGGTTGACTGGTTCGATATGAGGCCGAGGATGTAGGCATGCGGCGGTGAGGCGGTTGGGTCGAGAGATGGATAAGGCGAGGTAGAGTCGGTATCCGGCATATACGCCAGCAGTTGCATCGTAGGGCAGGATTACCGCCAGATCCATAGCCAAAAATGTCGCATATTGAACGATAGCCCAGATGTACCAGCCGAGGTGAAGGAAAAATGGGGGGGATGTGGGGAGTAAAACGAACGAAAATCAAACGCACCCTATCAACCGCGCCCCAAAGCCTATCCTCCCTCCCCTTATGCCCCTTCCAAAACGCCGCCACAGCGCCTCCGTCCGCGCCCTTGCGCAACCTCAGCAGCTCGACCTCGCCCCTTAGCTGCTCCTCGATGCGCTGCAGCGATATCGCGAGCCGGTACAGGTCGCGGTAGTCGCGCTCGATGCGGTTGTTCATGCTCTGCATCCACACATCAGATTCCGGGTGAGATAAGATGAGGAGGAAGAGGAAGAGGGGATGAGAAAGGAGGAGGAAGGGAGGGGATGGAGGGAGAACGTACGCGAGCATGATCAAGCTCCTCCTGCCTCCCCTGCAGCTCCCTCGCCGTAGCCGCCAAAAGGCCATCAAAGACGCCAATGAGCCCGTTCCGCGTAGGCTGCAACAGCGCGTTCGCGTCCGCATACGCCTGGCGCACGGCTACGGGCTGAACATTCGCAGGAGGCGGCGGCTGCGGCTGTTGTTGCTGTGGAGCGTGTTGTTGCTGAGCTTGTTGCGGGGGGTGTGGCGCTTGACGATGATGGTGCTGATGCCGGCTGGACTGCGCTTGCTGCTGTTGCTGTCCGTGTCCGTGTGTCGAGCCAGGACGCGACTGAGGCTGAACCTGAGGCTGAGGTTGAGGTTGTTGAAACACAGGCCCGACCGGCGCAGGCTGCAGCTGCACCGGCCCAAGCACCTGCACTTGCTGCTGCTGAGCGCTCATCCCGTTCGGCGGAAACTGAAATATCTGCTGCGTGCCCTGCGGTCCGATAGGTCTATACGTGAACGGCGGCTGGTCCGCTCGACTCGGTCCCGCCTGGCTTTGAAGTTGGGCGGAGGGATGGGGGTGTGTAGCCGAGAGCGGCGGCGTGGGTAGCGCTTGCATTTCTTTCTTCCCTTTCAATAAGGCAGGCAGAGCGTGGGTGGGGAGAAGAAAGGAAGGACTGGCACGCGTGGACGGTGAGGGTGAGAAGAGAAGTTGTAGTGAAAGGAAAGGAAGGAAGGGTGCAGTTCGACCTTGGACCTCGGACCGTCGCGTCGCGTAATGCGTCCGACGTCGTCCTTCGATTGCTCTCGGGCGGTGATTGCCGAGCACTTGACGTTGCGCGGCGGATCGCCGTACGCTATATGCGCGATCGAGTTGCACCTCTTCCTAGTGTGGTACATGCGTATCGCACGCAGCACGCTTGACTCCCATGCGAATATTGCTCTCCGATGGCAGAAAAGGGGGGATAAAGGAAGGACGAGGAAGTTCGGCCCGAAGTGACGCGCTCACGTGCGATTTTGATTGGCTCGTCCGGAGGCGGGAAGACGCTCGCGCGTTTTGCTCCGCTCCATCATGTTTTCTGTGAGCGCGTCGCGCGCGCCACCTTCGAGCGCTATATGGTAGTTTCAACGGCTTGCACATTTTCTTGCACATGCAGGTGTTTCGATACGAGATCCGGCGTGCGTGAAAGTTTTCCTTCTTAGCGGCCATTCGTCTGCAGCGTTTCCTATCATCTTTCTTCCTGCGAGACACGCCTCTCCTGTTTGACCCCTTGCGAATGAGTATCGCGATAGCATAGCAGAAACAGGGGAGACAAAGAAATGGCGAGCGGTGTGACGCGCTCAAGTGCGATCTTGGTTGGTTCACTCCGAGTCCGAGTGCGGAGTTTGGAAGACACGATCGCGAGTTGCTTCCGTCCTTGACATATATATGCTGTCTAGCCTTACAACGCCCGCGCAACCGAATCCCATCCCATCTACAAAGAGCCGTGCAACCCTTCCACAACATCTCACGCGCGCTACTCCCGCCTGCCTTCAACACGCGTACACTCGAACCACGCATGCCATTCATACTCTCCACCGCCCAGCACGGTCCCGACATTCCCGGCCCTGTCGGCCTAGACGAGTCCCTACAGCTCGAACCCGAACCGCACACCTCCGTCGGGTCCTCCCTTACTGGCTCTTACGACCTCGTCACCACATGTGATACGTACCACAACGCCATTGCGGATGGTAGCGTCGAGATCTACCACGCAGAGCTCCGACCAACATCAAGTCTCAATAATGAGCAAGAAAGAAACTCGATTCCGGTCGTTGTGAAGATAGCGTTAACACAAGACGGGTACACCAAGATCCTACACGAAGGACGGTTCTACTCAAAACACCTAGGGCCTCTCGTGGAGGATCACATGGCGCCCATATGCTACGGCGCGTTCAAAGTCCTCAACCGCACCGGCAAAGACCACGCGCACGGGTGTCTGATCCTCCAAGACTGCGGCCAGCTCGTCGGGTACGGCGACGTGGCATTGCGGGATCGCGATCCGGACGGCGACGCGGCGTACATCCGGTACTTGTCATTCCTCCCAACTTATCTTCACGTACGCCATACACTCTAACTTACTGGTAACTCATGACCACTTGCCACGCAGTGCCGCTGTCCTCTCAGCCGTCCGCAAACTACACACCCTCGGCCTAACGCACGGCGACCTCCCGTTCGGCCACATAACCCGCATGCCGGACCGCTCCGTCCGCATCATCGGCTTCACGCACGCCCAAACCGGCCACGAATGCCAGTACACGCTCTCCGACGCCGATCTGTGGGGCAGACCGCAGCCGGAGCCGGGTGCTGTGGGGTGTAGCGAGATCTACGACGTGTGCGAGGGGTTGAACATCTTCGTGCCAGGTGCATATTACGACTCGGACTCTGTCGATCTCATGTCTAGGATGTGCTGAGCGCTCACGGCTGCCAGGCTTCTTCGAGTACATCGACACCTACCTCCCCGCATCTCTCATCGAGGACCAAGACCTCGAGTCTATAGCCGATAACGCGCCCGAGGGGACAAGGCCGGCGTACGCGCTGAGGAGGGCGTACGGGGCTGCGCTGGTGTATCTGGAGGAGTGGTTTCCAGAGGTCGCTGTGCGGATGCAAAGTGCGCGTTTGATCATTGGTGTGGTCGAATTCGACTGCGTACTGACGGCTGCGATGTGCTGCAGATGAGATGGGGAAGGGGTTGAAGGAGCGGTGTAGAGTGTATCAGAAGGCCAAGGATGAGAGGGAAGCGAAGAGACGGATGAGTATGAGAGAGCCGGCTTCCACTCAGTGAATTCGCTTGTTGATGGTCGATCTGTCGTATTCCTGCGCTTGAGTAGTCGATTCATCTTTCATTCATCATACATATGATCGTGATAGACAGCTCTAATTCATTCCAGTACATGCATGGATATAGAACATCCGAACCAGACTGCAAGAACTATCCGCCGCCATTCACCGCTCCAACCTCGCTAATCCACCCCCCGTACGCACAGCGCTATATCGACGCGCCTGACGCTCTTCGTATTCCGCGCCGAACTTAAGCCTAAGGAGGCGGCCGCGACATGTTTGTGGACGATTGAAGCTACACTAGTCGCTGCACTTGCACGCGCGTACGCGACTGGCCGCCGTGCGCGTTCATCCCGGGCGGATACTGCGCGACTTGATGCGCGTCTTGCAGCACTAGTCTCCCCTAGGCAGACTCAGCGTCGCAGGACCCTGCTTATGCGGCGCCGGCCCAATCGGTTTACACTTGAGCGACGATTGATCCTGTCGACTTGGTCAAGGCGCTTGCGCTTGCGTTCGGGCTGAGGGACTTGGGTGTGGACGGTGTAGCCGAAAGCGTCGGCGTGGCTAGACTACGAGTGACGCTTGCATTCTTGATCTTGAGTGAACAGCACTGAGGCAGGTAGGGCGTTGGCCGAACTAGGTGAGGCGGAAGAACGCGTAGACGGTGCCGCCCATACGGGGTAGAAGTAGTGTAAGGAGAAAGATGGAGTGACAGGAAAGGGCGGGTTTACCCATCGACACGTCGCGTAAACGGCTGCCATGATGAGGTGCAAGGATCGCAGGAGCGACTGCTCGTTCAAGCCATCCACCAAGGTGTGGAGGGATGTGGGAAGTCGTCAACGAGGTCCACGTAGACTTGTCTGGGTAGCGGAGGCGCGGAGCTCTCCTAGCGCCCGACGTGGAGGACGAAGGCCAACTTCGAGTTCGAGGAACTCTCGGCGGATGGAACGCGCTCACGTGCGATTTTGATCGCGCCAGGCCCGAACTCGAGACGCTCGTTGCCAAACCCCATCATGTTCGAATCTCTTCGTCGCGCGCGACGCAATAGCTCTGAAGAGATACGAATAGCTTCGAAGCTTCGTGGATGTAGAAGCTTGGACTGAACAGCCGTCTTGCGCGTTCATGCCTCATACGTTTGTCCGACAGAAGCAGTGGCGAGGACCTTCGCCTTGCCGCTAAGCGTCGCCCGGCCCGCCGACGGGTGTGGCTAAACTTCTTCTGCGCTGCTATTTCTGCGCTCTCACCTTGCTCCGGTCCACCACTCAGCCACTGAATGGCTGGACTGAATGAATGTCCCGGCGTGTAGCGCGGTATGTAACGCGCGCGTCAGGCCCGGGGGAAGGGCTCATACAGCGCCCTCTTGCATTCTAGCCTGCTGCCTTGTATGTGCAGTCTCGCTACTTGGCTGTTCTGTGGAGCTCACCACGGCAGTTGGCCTCGTGGTGATGCGATCACGTTCGCCGACGAGATGAACCGTTTTCGAATTGAGGCCACTCTATCATAGATATATTCTGTAGGAATATGCTGGTACATCTTGCTTTGGCGTGCCCCCTTCACTGCTCGTGGAGCTGAAGTGGTATGACTTACGCAATACGGGGACCGGGACAGCGTGAAATGCATTTGGCACGTTGATTGCAGTATCTTTAGACAAGGGGATGTATGTAGCCTGATCGATACTTTGGCTTTCATACTTGCCCATAATGATGCTATATCACCTCGTTGTGTACGCCCTGCGCGCGAACTACACCTAAATCAAACACGATGGGCGTTTCCGCGAAAGGAAGTTGGATGTCAATATGACGCGACTGGTGACAGCGCAGTGAGCGCTCGTACATGCATGCAGAGCAATTCACGGTCCAGGACATGCGAGCACGTCAAGAGAAAAGCTCATGACCGCTGTACAGGTTCGGAGCTTTCGACCATGGACGCGGTGGGCGTCCTTGAAGTTGATGGCGGCCGTTGCCGCGGCGAGATTCCCACTTCGGCCGCACCTTGCGCGACCTTCTTCCGCACCACGACTTTCGACGCTTCGACCTCGCCGACACCTCGTACTCAGCCTACCTTCCTCCTTCGGACCATGTAGAACTGTTACTCCGTTTCTGTTGTGGGCGCGTATGCGATCTACCTATGGCCATTACACGTCACGCAAGCGGTCGATTCAACGTCGCCACGGCTTATGTGCTCGCGCCAGTCCCGCAGATTCAAACGACCTATGAGCAGACCCGGACTCTCCTACCGCTGCTGCTCTGGTTGAATGCGCGCTACGACTGGACGTACCCGGAGCTGGACTTGTGGCAGGTTGCTGCACGGGAAGCGCGAGGGAGGGATTTCGTTGGCTTTGCCAAAGCGGTAGAATTCGACGCTTGCTCCAAGAAACGCATCGTCTGTAGGATGGTGCGGGAATCGTATGCTATGGTACGTTCATGTGACTGCTTGGAGAAGCTGGACTGCGAAAGCTTATTCGTTATGGCTAGGCAGCGGGTGATATGGGTGTCGGACGGCACTCTGTACGACTTGATGTTACGTTTAGATCGCTCAATGTATGCGATACCTGCAACTTTATCCCTGTGCAATGCAACATCCTTTTGGAACGAATTGTAGTCATGAGTGGACGGCCGTGCCAGCTACGGTGCGTATTCTATTCGAACCGGAATGGCATGTCAAGACCGTGTTAGTAGCGCTTCGGTGTCGAGTGCAGCATCTTCGGCCCTTAGGCGTATGCGGGTGAATTTTGACTTTCATAGATGGTCAAAGACGGCGATATTGCCTCGGACTCTGCTCTGGCGCACATAAGCTACATTGCCCTCTATGCGACTAACAGCTCCCGCGGCAGGTTGAATAAATCGGAGCATGACGCGGACCTTGTCGCTTCTCTTGCAGGGGTGCTTCCAACAACGCATGTTCTGTAGGACTGCATCACCTCAACGTGTATAGGTGCGTATGTTCGATACTGAGTGGGTCTCGAGCGTGGGCGCCGACTATCTTTGGATAGATTGAATTACAATGATGGTAACTCTTGCGATTGTACCGTTATCACCGTTCGGCATGCGGCAGAGGACATGTCTCAACCACATTCCGAGGATACGACATGCGATATACGGGCAAACTACAAAAGTCGCTCTCTCCGCGTCCCTGTCCTTACCCCCAGTACCGTGGTCCCAGTCCTGCCTTGGGGCGCTACTTGCTTTGTCAAGTGTATAGCTGACATCCCTCGGTACACAACTGCCTGCGGCGCGCTCGTATTCTCTCCTGAACTCGTCAACCTAGCTGGCCATGCAATGCTCGAACAGCGCCCATGTTGGCAACGGCGATGAAGCCCGTCCTCGACAGTCTCCAGTATGTACGTCCGAACACGCTCTACTTCCTCATTATTGACGGCATGTTTAGCGACAAGACGGCGAACCGACTCCAATGTCTCCCTTCGACCTACCCCACACCTTCAGGAGGGACATCCGGTTAGTGGACAAGGGCTCCATGTTCCAGATATACGTTCTAATGCGATCCCTTTTGCAGCGAGAACTACATACACGATCGAGCAATACCAGCGAACACGACCGTGTTTCCTCAGTGCGTATCCAGTCTATCATGTTTGACTATGGCTGACGCGACGCACGCCCAGTGAGCCCACGACGGAGCCTGGTGAAAAGGAGCCGTTGGGAGACTGGGAACCCTTCACCCACCCTTCGGGATATTTATATTTCTACCATCAGAAGAAGGTGGGATTCGTGTCGTGTATCGCCGCACTGTATCGTTGGCTGAATTGGATCCCAGAGAATCTGGACAACCACGTATATGTACAGCCGACCTCATCACCGACAGATCGAGGAGTGTGTGTCCTTCCTGGAGAGTCAACGGACGGATTTTGACGCCCACTCGTCACGTTACGAATGTGTTGTTAATGCGACCCGAGAAGGACGACCCGGTCAAGAAGAGTATTACGTGAAGACTTACTACTACATCGACCATGATACTCGCTCCGTCTTTTGGCTGCACGAGAACAAACTTCGCCGCGAATTAGGCTCCATGCCAGGATCGCTGTCGATGGACCATATCTGTATGTCCTTACCCCTAAACCGCGACATGACCTGATGTTATTGTAGATCATAGGATTCAGGAGCTCTACTGGTGAGCTCAGCGCGTGTCTAGTCTATGCGTTGGTCGCCCTGAAGTCTCATTGTGCCGTCATTCAGGCGTCACATCTATCTCTTCCCCCATGCAGATCGAAGTTCTCAGTTCACAAAGGAATTGCTACTCGGGCTACTCGACTGTGTTGTATTCAACTCACAGGGTACGTAGCCTCAATCGCTCGATAACTTTATTCGGGATATTTTGCCGCCACGGTCACGAGCCCACCTGATCAATACTTCTCCAGACTGCTCCGTCTTCTCTCACAGCACCTGTATGTACACCACGACGCAGTTGGATCGGATGCGGGATGTCATTCAAGGCGCGTGCAAGCGACTGCGGGCTGGAGATCCACTCTCGCCAGATCTATGTTCCAGTCTTGGTGGGTCAACCATATCTACATACCTCTACCATTCATACTCATGCACCATTGGCAGCTTGCATCCACATGTGCATGGGTGAATCCCGAGCGTTCTCTCATTGGTTTCTGCTCCTGATCGCAACTGTTGTAGCCAGACAACGGTTTTACCATATGCATGGCCAACCATATGCACGTTTGTGCTCTAAAGCGAGCATATTCACTCGCGACACTTCCTGGTTGTCACCTTCCCTTGCCAACAGCGCTTTCTTCATCTTGAACTTCGCCCTCCTGGGAGAACCGATCGCCGTTCTGAGGGAGTTGGAAGCCATCACGGTGGATGGTATGGTACTACTGCATGACCGCAAGAAGCTGCTGGTGCGATTATTTGCTCAATGGGGTCAGCTACTGGTTTTAGTCCGTCACATTTCACTGCAGGTCAGACTACTCGAATGCTGATGCATGTCCAGGGGACCGTTATGTTGGCAGTCAACATGTCTTTGCTTGCCATACCAGATATCTTCTCTGAGGGCGGTAGAGAAGAAGGCGCTCCGACGTCCAAACTATACGTGTATCTCAGCGTAACTTTCAGCCTCGCCAGCATTACGGCAGCATTGGCCCACATCCGGTACACGCCTATCGACAAAGATCCGGCAATAGATGTCATGGCACCTTATAACGACCTCCATTGGTTGGGACCACGTTCACTCGCCCTCCTGTGCAGCACGCCCTTCGCATTTCTATTGATGTCGTAGGTACATATCACATGCGCTCAAGAAGATGACTGATCGCCTTTCATCCAGAATGATCATGTTTGTTCTGGCAATCTTTGCTGCGCCGGTTTCTCCGATCAGCATCGCCGTGGGGTCTATTCTCATGGAGGCATACTTCGTGATCCTCATGGTGAACTTCTGCGTGACTTTGTATCATCAGCCACGTCCTGATTGGGTAGAACGGTACATCGTACCACTGTGAGTTATCTCAGTTCATCATGCTCGGTAATTGCTAAACCCCCACCCTTGCCCGTTCAGTGCCACGAAGATTTGGCGAGTGTATCCGAATACTAAACGAAGGCAACTGCGTCGGAGCAATTCTACGGAGATGGAGCATCCAGGACCTTGACTGTGGAACCCCTTATTTTCTGCGTTGATGACGGCTGCGCCGCTCACATCAGGACATGTCTCCGCTCTCTGCATGTATCACGAACACAATTAGTATCAGGACTGTGGCCACTCGTATCGTGCTCTTGCTATCATTCGTGTTGTTCGCTTATGCGTGAGAGCATACGCTTTTAGCATTCGCGTAGCGACAAAGCTTAGTGTCTCGTTCACCGTGTCTGATAGCCAGTTCTGTGCGGTATGCGGCGTCGGGAAGCGGGGCCACTCGGATGGAGGCCAGGCGAGCAGGTGATCTCTGTAGTGATGGTAAGGCGAGAAGACCGCCAACGTGCACAGCCGCTCGCGCTTCGTACACTACAACCACCATGAGCCGGAGAAAAAGCGCTCGCTCGATCAATGTCCCGTACCAGGGTTGTCGCCGGTTGGGTGCTGCAATTCGGGATATCGATACTTAGCTGCACACGCGATCACGTGCGATTCTGATAAACTCTGCCGCGAGGCCTAGTCCGGCGCTTCGACCCTTTCTCGCTGTAGCCATCACTTCACCGCCCTGACCCGGCGAATCCGCGTCCCGGGCAGCGCCACAAAGTTGACAGCGCTATATCAACGCGTTTGAAGCTATAGAAAGACCAAGACCGCCGTGGTCTCCTCTCCTCACTCCTCTCACGTCTACCACTACTACGGCACCCGGAGGACTCAAGATGAAGGCTGCTACTGCTCTCTTGACTCTCGCTCTGGCTGGCTTTGCTGCTGCCGAGGCCCAAGTGCCATTCGACGCGAACACCGACTTCAACCCCGCGTCCTATATATTCAAAAGCGCCAAATGCCCGGCGGTCAACCGGGAGAAGAAGTCCGTGAAGGAGCTCGAGCAGCGTACGTGTTCATCTTTACTCTTCTCCGTAGTATTCAAGCTGATTCAATGTGCAGAGTATGTCGACATCAACCCCACTGCGTCGCGTACGCTCCTACTCGTACACGGCTGGCCGTCGCTCTGGGCGAGCTGGAAGTACCAAATCGCAGAGTTCCAGGTAACACACGTGCCTATCCTTTCTTGACGACGTGCTCAACGGCTTGACAGAACGACTTCCGTCTTATCATACCCAACCTTCGCGGCTTCGGCGACTCAGCGCACCCGGGCGACGTTCGCACGAGCGGTACAATGCCCGACCTCGTTGGCGACTTGCGCTGCATCCTCGACGCTGCTGGTGTGAAGGATCCGGTGGTATGTGTTGGGTGCGTCTTCACCACCGCTCTCTGTGATGCACGTGCTGATGCTATGATACCAGACACGACTGGGGCACCCAAACGTGCTTCGAAGCAGCCCGTCAAGCGCCGACGCGCGTAGCGGGTGTCGTAGGGATCACAATCCCGTACATGCCCGTACGTCAGAAGCGCTCGACCAAGCCATTCGTGCGCCACTAACCCTACCTTCAGTACGCGGGACCGTTTGTCCCCATGTCCGCGCTCGTCCCCGAGCTCCCGCACTTGGCGTACCAAGTCTACTTCGACAACAAGACCAAGGCGGCCTCGGCAGAGCTCGATAAGGACATACGCCGCACTCTCCGCGCTACGCTGCGCACGGTCGCTTCGCCGCCACCCGAGGGCTTCCTAAGCAGCACGGACAACTTCCTCGGCGCGTATGGTGACGAGGAGGTGCGTGCTCTCGTAACAATCAGTACAGAGTGGAAAGCGCTGATGCGATGAATACAGATCCCGGCTATTCCATTCCTCACCGCGACTGAGGAGGATTACTGGGTCAAGTCGTACGAGAAGCAGGGCTTTGACAAGACGCTGTACTTCTACCAGACGCCTGCGCGCAAGATGAGCTGGGAAGCGGCGCAGAAGAGCGGGGTGTACTCCGTGCGTACCCACTCGCTCCCTATACGCGATGGAAACCTAACCACGTCCTACACAGATCTCCCAGCCGGCACTCAGTATCCTCGACACCGAAGACCCCGTCGCAAACTGGCCCGCCGCAGCCGGGCTCTTACACACGGCCGACTTCCTTCCGCGCCTCACGACCAAAGTACGTCTTCCTCCATCCCTTTCTGCCGCCATACCTTGTGCTAACGCAACACGCAGACTATGCCCGGCGCCCACTGGGTCCAGCTCGAACGCCCTGCCGAAGTGAACGCCTTCATCCGCGAGTGGCTCACGTCGACATATCCGGACAGCAGTTCGTTTTCGGCTATACCGGCTCCCTCGTCCTCTACGGGGACGGCTAGCTCGAAGACTGCGACGGAGGAGGCGGCTATGCCGTCGACTGCGGCGCCTACGGCCGCGGCGACTGAAAGTAAGAAGGCGCATGAGGAGTTGTAAAGAGCGTGGGATAGTTGTATGGTGTATTGTACGAACGGGTTTGGATGTACGAATGCTTAGTATGTACAGTGCTTGCTTCTTCGAATTCTGCGGCCCTTTAGAGTGCATCGCGCGCGAGGCGGGAACCTCTTAATGGCATGTCTGCGTTGCGGATTATGTACACTCTGGAAAGTCAGAAGCCGTCCAGAATTCGCCCTATGGCGTTTTATTGAATTCATTGCCGGCGCCGGGTGCGAAGAACCCTAACCCTAGGCGATCTCCTTGCTAAACGTTCGTGCTGCTTTCCGCGTCTTAACCGAAACACCCATATGCATGCTCACTCGATGTACCGGGTGTGTGTTCGACCGTCCATCTTGACGCACATCTATCCATCATACGTAAGTAACGTTGCTGCTGCCGCACGACACGATGCTCACAAGCTAGCAGGACGCTGACCACCATGGCTTCATCCCCCTCCCTCTACGCATCACGTTCCCCCGCCGCTACTGAGTACATCTCATCGTGATGCCTCTCACCATTACGAGCCTGCAATACACCACCAATGACGTCGAGGACCGGATCCTGCCGGACATCGACGTGCAGTACATCCTCAAACGAGATACCACCAGCGGCAGCACCCTCAAGGACGGCGACTACGTCCTATCGATCGACGGAGAAGTCCGCACTACAGGGCAGACCGCCGTCCACGTTTACGCCGGCCGTCTCATCTCCTTGGAATCTGAGAGAGAGCGCCACGTTATCATCAAAGCCGCCTGGGACATCGACACGCTCCTCAAGGAAGCCACGATCTACTCTCGCTATTTGTTGCCTGCGGTAGAGGCCGGTCTTGTCCCCGGATGCCATGGCGTGGATTGCGCCGTGATGCCCGGACTCGAAGAGGAAGAGGCTGGATGCTTGATCCTGGACTATGCGGGCCAAGCCTTGTACGATCGATGGAATACGATGAGAGACGACAGAGTGTTGAAGTGCGTTTATTGTACAAGACTCGTACAACTTCTGGTGCTCACTTTTTATGCAGACTCCTGATGATCGAAACGCTCATGGGTGTACACCAATGCGGAATCGTTCACGGCAACATCGAACCGCGCCACCTCACCATACAATCCGACGAAGACGGGACCTACCCCCGTCTGATCGATTTCAGCGAGGCGCGCGAGATGGATACAGTCTGCTCCTGTCGTAGAGGCAAGACCATCAAAGACGTAGCTGAAATGAAGATGGAGCCGAGGAGAGACGTCTGGGCCTGCGATGAAGTCTGGCACTGGTGCAACGAGCTGAAAGTTTGGCCTCCCCGTACGTTCGATCCTCCGCTCAAGGTGGTCTATCTGAGACCCACGCGTATATATATCAGGCCTCTTCCCGTGGCACGGTATCTGTATACGCGTGGACGATCTGCTCGCCGGAAATGTCGCGGTGGTGGCGAAGACGAAGAAGACGTTTGAGGAGTGGGACGAGGCGCTGGAAGAGGCATATGTGGGGGTGTGCACGTTCTTGGAGAAACATTATCCCGAGCACGAGCAGACCAAGAGAATACGAGGTACGCTGCTGTATCCCTGTTACTGAGCCACATGCCTATCACTGATGTGTTTACTGTAGCTATCGTAGACGACGAGGAGGCGCTGAAGAAGATCTGCGCCGAGTTCAAGGAGGAGATGGAACGGCAAGGCGACTGGGTGGAGTATCCCGAGGACACGACCGAGGCCTGAGCGCTTGATGCCCACGCCTCTGATCCTCGCAATCTACGTCCCAACCTGTCCTTCATGTCTAAATGCCTCCCGAACGCGCGACACCAGCATGCAATATTCATAGTTATATCGATCACATTCGGATTCAATATGAGGTCCATGTTACACCGCTTCCGGGTACAGTTCTCAAAAAGTCCAGCGTATCGCGTATCGTCTCCTCCAATGACCTCGGCACCAGCCCTAACACCTTCCGCATCTTGCTAGTATCGAACCTATACCGAGGTTTGGACAACACGTCTTGCGTCTCGCGCACAAGCGACGGATCCAGACTGCACGCTACGCGATCTGCACAGCATCGGCATCAGTACCGATGTTATGATCATACTCACAGGCCGCAAGGAAATTCATATACTCACGGAAGTCTCCCACGACACAATCGCCGGCAGAAACGATGATGCGCTGGCCGCCCGCCTCGTCCTTCTGAGCTGCGAGAACATGCGCCAGCGCGATATCGCGGACGTCGATCCATCCGCATCCGGTTTTGACGAGCGCGTTGACGAGGTGGCCGCGGGTTACGATGGAATGCATGGTGTAGAGCGATTCGGTGAAGGAGGCCGGGGAGGGGAGGGGGTATGAGTTTGGCTGTGGGGAGCGTGATCAGGATTGTTTGGTGGGTGGGTGAGGTGAGAGGGAGGACGTACGCCGACAAACTGGATGGGCTCGTTCAGTAGACATACGTGAGCGCGTGTATGGAGGTACTCACGAATGATCCGTGCAAGCAGACGAGATCAAACTCAGTGATGTTTTGCTCTCGCATAAACGCCCATGCACCTGCTGCCAGTTAGCTTCGGCAGAACTTCTGTGCCGTCAATCAAGGAACACGCGTACGGTTCTCAGCTTGAGTCTTAGCAGCGCTATAGATAGCAATAGGATCCGTAGACCCATCCTCGACAGCTTTGATCGACGTCTCGTTCACCGACGTCTCGTCGTAGACTCTCGGCTCCACGGTCGGCCAGTCTATGATTGTACAGATGGACCCGGTGACCACGACGCGCCGTACGGCTTCTCTGTGCTTTTGAGCGGATTGTAAGAGGCTGAGTGTACCGGTGACGGCGGGCTGTATGATGTCTGGCCCGATTGATCAGTCACAGATGGGAGTTGCCGGGAGAGCTTTGGGCGCACCGTCTGGTTTATCGGCTAGGTTGAGTGTCAGTCAGGGTCATAGCAGTACCAAGCGTGACGTCTCACTCCATAATAGAGGCGACAGCGTATGCATAAGGAGCCGCACACCCTCCATCGCATCATCGAAAGCGCCTTCCTAGACCCAGCATGAGTAAACCTTTATCTCTCACGGTTACCAGCCACGCTATTCACCAACACTCACCTTCAACACATCCTCCACGACCACATACTCAAACCTATCGCCTCTCTCCCCAAGACTTCCCCGTATAGTTTCGCCTTTGTCCGCAGTGCGCACTGTTCCGCGCACGGAATAGCCGTGCTCGAGGAGTGTGCGGACGATCCAAGCGCCGAGAAAGCCGTTGGCGCCCGTGACGAGGACTTTGGCGGGAGCGGGGACGGAGGGCATTGGCTAGTGCTTGAGCACGAGAGGGTGGGTGGTGTGATGTAAGGTGGGCTGGGGCTGCGCCTGCTCGACGGGGAGGGCAGATCGCGGTGTTTGTAGCTGGCGGGCGCAACTTTGGGCCTGACTGGGGCATACATACAGGAATAGACGATCAGCTGGTACTCTTGTATACTATCTGAAGTGCAGCGAAGGAGCCTCGAGCGTCTGTGGCAGAGGTCTAGAAGGTGCACTCTCAATATGTCGAGCTTTCTGTGTGGCGCCCGAGAATTGCGTTCATCATCCTAGAGCGGAAGCTTGTCCTGTGAGGTTTCGCGTGTGTATGTGGTATTGGTGACGGTGGCGACGGCGGTGGTCACCCGTCAGGCGCAATCAATGTCAAACTCTCTAGGTAGGGCGCCTAGATAGTCACTTGGGCGAGAGCGCGAGCGCGCACGGAACGCCCGGTGCAGTATAAAATTACCGCGGTTTACCTGGCTCTCTATAGGGATGTAGGTGTTCAAATGTCACACAAAAGATGATGGCGGGAGGCAAAGCACGGAACCCGCATGCGGCACCGCGGCCCGACCACAGACTGGCGCGGCAGGGCGCGGCGAGCTTGAACTCGAACTTGGTCCATGACGACAACATACTCGCCTCTCTCATTTTTCTCGGCTTGAATACCATCTTCGTCTTACAAATAATGCGACATACTGGCTGAAGCCCTGCACCGGTCTTCAAGGCCTCTGCGTGTGATGTGTTTCCAACCCTGACCAACACCTCGAAGGTCAAGATGCGCAGAGAAGAGTTGGCTTCGCACATCTCGCACCACACCTACACAAACCGCTGTGCTTCTTCATCCTACAAGAGCACCGGTTCACGTACTCGTGATCTTCCGGTGGGAAGCGGTAGTTGAAGATAGGCGGGGTCGGAGGGCCGCGCCCGCTTTACACCGCGGGCTGCGAGAGTGCTGTGTCCGTCCGTTGCATCAGATGACAGCACGTTTGAACACGAGTGCAGTCGCCGTCCTTCACATATTCGCCGCATATATACATACTGAGAATACCGCAGCTTCGAGATGCAACATTCTTTACCCAATCAAGACATCCTGGAAGGATACGAACACACCCAGGCTTCTCGAGAGCTCCCAGTCGCCGCGCAGCCGAGACCATATGTATAGGCAAACCTCGCACTTTACTCTGAAGCATTCCCGCCTTACGGGTCGCTTCTGTCTGCAACGCGCTGGCGATCTTAGCCAAGGGACATCCTCGCGCGCATCCGACATCGACCGGACGCCCATCGAGTTCACTTTCGTCATCGCAATACCCACATCCGACCCTCCTGCAATGTCAGAGAAGATGCACGCAGTGCTTGAGCAGTCCGAGGAGAAGGACCATGCGAGCAGATCTGAGAGCGACGCCGCTACACCTGAGACCGTCTCCGATTTCCCCGACGGTGGACTGCTGGCTTGGCTTCAAGTCGCGGGCTCGTTCTTTCTTGTGTTCGTAGCATGGTATGCAGATATCTTCATCATAGCCGTGCTTCGTGCTGACCTTGGTTGTCGTTGAAAGGGGTACATTCAACACATTTGGCGCGTTTCAAACCTACTACGAAGAGGAGCTGCTAAAAGGGACGTCGGCGTCGGCCATCAGCTGGGTTGGCAGCATCGGCGGCTTCATGATCATGATATTCGGTGTACTGAGTGGCCCGATATTCGACAAAGGACACTTCAGGGCTCTCATTGTCATCGGCTCGTTCATGTCGGTGTTCGGGTTCATGATGACGAGCCTCTCTACCTCTTTCTATCAGGTTAGAACGAATCGCGATCCATGACAAGACAAATGCTGAATGCTCTCGCAGATCCTTTTGGCACAAGGTGTCTGCCTTGGGATCGGGAACGGGTTGCTGTTCACCCCCAGCGTCGCCATCGTCGCGACCTACTTCGAGCGCAAGAGAGGATTGGCTGTGGGTATTGCGATTACCGGGAGCTCCGTCTGTGCGTTATGCGCTCCCCTACTTTCTCATCCGAGTCACTAACCGCATTCCTCTGTTCAGCCGGTATCATCTACCCCGTGATCTTCCGCCAGTTGCAGCCTCAAATAGGCTTCCCATGGACAATGCGCGTGATGGGCTTCGTCACACTCGGTGTTCTCGCCTTCTCCCTCGCAGTCATGCGACCGCGTTTCAAGCCACACACACGCCGAGCGCTCTTCGACCCTTCAGCGTTCACCGAGCCGCCATACGTGCTCTTCTGTATCGGCAACTTCCTCAGCTTCATGGGTGCATACGTTCCACTCTTCTATACGCCAGCCTTCGCTCAGGCGCACACGGGAGCCAGCACAAGTCTCGCATTCTACACCGTCGCGATCTTGAACGGAGTATCCATCCTCGGACGAACGGTGCCGAACTTCGTCGCGGACAAGATTGGCCCGTTGAACACCATCACACCGATTGCGATGTTCACCGCGGTACTCGCGTTCTGCTGGATACCGGTGAACTCGATTGCTGGACTCGTCGTCATGTGCTCATTCTACGGCTTTTCGTCTGGAGCACTGTTGTCGCTTACACCACCAGCAATCGCGGGCCTTACGAAGGATATCGGTCGGGTCGGCACGCGTCTGGGCATGAGCCTCGGTATCGCGGGCATAGGACTTCTTATAGGCAACCCGGTTGCAGGCGCGCTCGTCAACCTCGACACCGGCAGTTTTGTGCACGCACAGATACTTGGTGGGGCGATTGTCTTCGGAGCGGGACTGTTTATGGCGCTTTCGCGTGTGTCCAAAGTTGGATGGTCTTTGCGTGCTAAGGCTTAAGGACTGTACTCGTCGGGGCATACCCGTAGTATCAAAACTACGTAGTAGCTATACTTTCTGGTGTTGTGCGAATAGTGTGAAGTGAATCAGACGCTTGGCTTTCATCGTATGCTTCTGTTCGAACGCGCATATATATGCCTATACCCCTGCAGAGACAGACTTGAAGAACGCAAGCGAATCGCGAATAGTCTCCTCCAACGAACGCGGCTGTAAGCCCAACACCCGGCGCATCTTCTCCGTATCGAACATGTACCGGTTCTCCAATAGCACACCCTTTGTCGATTCCGGAAGAGAGGGATCAAGGCTATGCGCCATCCTATCTGTACCACGTATTCTTCGTCAGCATAGATGAACCTGGTCTGTTGGGTATGAGTATGCTCACTAAGATCGTCTACAATGCAATCACCCGCAGATATGATGATGCGTTCTCCACCCGCCTCGTCGCATTGGGCCGCGAGAACATGCGCGAGCGCTATATCACGTACGTCGATCCAGCCTGTTCCTGTTCCTAGGAGCTCGTTCTCGATGCGCCCTTCGGTCAGAATGGCGTGCAAGCAGTGCATCGACTCGCCGAAGTCGGTCGCTGAAGAGACCGGATGCGCATACGGCTGAGGGGTTGCGTGCGTATAGTCAGAACTCTCGATTGAGGGGAGAGGGAGAGAGAGAAAGGGTTCTCACGCCGTAGAACTGCATAGGTGTTCGTTAGACAATCGTGAGGGTTTAGCGGGAGATGACACATACCCACGAGCCATGCAGGTAGACGAGATCAAACTGGGTGATGTTTTGCTCTTCCATGAAAGCACGCGCTCCTAATAGCCATGCCATCTTCAGTACTTGAACACCACCTTCACATTGATAATAGTGAGATACGCACTCTTCTCGGACTCGGTCTTTGCCGCACAGTATATCGCCATCGGGTCCGTGGATCCCTCGTTCACACTCCGGATAGATGCTTCATTGATCGACGTCTCATCATAGACGCCCGGCTCAGTGGCCGGCCAGTCGAGTACCGCGCCGATGGAGCCGGTGATAACGATGCGCTTGATGGTGTTCTGTGACTTTTGGGCAGACTTGAGGACGTTGATGGTTCCGATGACTGCAGGGCGTATGATTTCTGTGCGGCTTATGGTCATGATGCGGCTCTTGGAGGAGGTGTGGCATACCGTCGGGTTGAGTAGCTGCAAAAGCGTAGTTGGCGATCAGTAAGCGAATACGGCCTGTTGGGAATGTGGGACTTACTTTGGAATACGGGTGACAGCGTGTGCATGACAAGGTCCATATCTTTGACTGCGTCATCGTAGGCACCGTCCTGGAAGAGGGTTATGTGAGTAAATTGGCAAGGTATTGTTGGCGCGTCTACCTCAAGGACATCGCCGATCACGGCGTACTCAAACCTATCGCTTAGCTCTCCAAGCGATGCCTTGACGACGTCTCCTTTAGCGGGACTACGAACAGTCCCGCGCACGTAGTACCCGTGTTCAATCAGTATGCGCACGAGCCATGCGCCTAGGTAACCGTTTGCGCCTGTGACGAGAACACGAGAGGGTGGAGGGACTGAAGGCATTGGATGCTTGACTCAAAGCTATCTAGGGATCAGCATATATAGTGAGTTAAGATATACTTCATCGAGGGCATGTAGTTGGAGTACTATCCCGGCTGACAGGGCGTGTCCATGAATTCGGCCCGAGGCTGGTGTTCGGCCCCTTCAAGAACGCGAGAATTGTGTATGTGGAAGGAGTATAGAGCGTAGAGGGCGCTTGAGAAGGAGTCCAACTTGCGGAAGCGTATGATGAGTCCCGCGCAATGTCAACCCTGAAGACTACAGGACAGAACGTGCGTAATGGCGGCGCTGCATCAGTGCATCGGGTGGACACAGGGCCCCCGATACATCTCAACGTAAGTATCTTGGGCTGTCTACAGCTCTATCGGGATGGATACTTTCGTTGCACGAGTGAACACCTTGGATAGGGAGAAAATAGCAGTGACACCATAGTTGATAAGGCTCATGGGGGCAGGAGACAACAAGCGCGACTGCATGGCGAAGTGAGAAAGCGCGTTCGCTCCGTGCCGGCGGTACGGTCCGACCTTTCGTCTTGACGAACATGATCTCGAAGCCTACATGATTCTATCGTCTACCTCTAAGCATCCTCCCGGCTCGTAGTGGTCACCAACCCCTCTCTGAGGATGTCACAAGAGAAGGAGGCGGTGCCAGTGATATGTTGGAGGCCCAGTTTCGGACCGCGCCCACGTACAATGGTACCCAGTGAGGGACCACGATCGAGCGAGGATGCTGGCTTTGTGTTGTGGGATCAAACGTGTACGTTTTCTCTATCCCTCGCTCCTTCTTTCCCAACATACCCATCCCGTTTGCCTTCCACCACGCCCCATACCCCGTTCAAATTCAAGACTGACCGCTACCTCTCATCGACAGCCACAGACCCGCCGCGCAGAAGGTCGCATCGACCTCTATCTCAGCCTCGGCACTACACATAACCACGCTTCGCACCATCTCTTCCACACTTGCACGCGCGTTCGCGCGTTTCCTTTCGGCACCACCACGCTACTCTTCGAACATATTCCGCACTTCGACACCTACGAGTAGGGCCTCGTCCCTCCTGGCGCACAAAGACGGGCCAAGGACAAACGTAGGAGAAGGAATGTCGTCGCTCCCGCCCATCAGTGGAGACAACCTCAAGGACTCTGGTTCATGCACATAGACGCGGGATAGCCGTTGCACATCCTGTACACGTCAAGCCCGCAAATACTACGTAACAATGAAGTTCGAACTCCGCGCATCTTGACGCTTATATGTGGCGCTCAATCAATCGTCCGCCACGACCTTGGCGCGACCCTTGAGTTGAAGGCCCAACTACAGTCCTTCTGAAAGCAACGCTCGCGTCTCCTCGCCTTTACTTGTCACGGTCGGAGTGGCACCCGCGCCAGATGTCCCTCACCGCGAACGTCAAGGCCTTCCTGGATTGGGAAGAGGTCGAAGACGTCTTTCTCCACGAATGCTTGACTCTCAAGCCTGTAGACGGCACGGCCGTCGCGCAACTGCCTTTCAAGCGCTGCAAGCTTTTCGCCGACGGCACTGGGCTGCGAGAGCGCGGACAACTAAACAAGGTCGCCGTTGTTCGCGGATCCATCGTCAACGCGGACGGTGTGGCGCCAGAGCCGAAGGCCCCGGTTATCATGAAGCTGGCCACCACCGAGCGCGCGCTTGGTAGACTTGTCGACGAGGCCAAATTTTACCGTAATAAGCTCTCTGGTCTGTCGGGCGGGACAGGCGGCGTACCGCGGTCCTATGGCGTTTATCAAGTCGTGAACTACACACCTCATGACTCCGATGATCTCTGCTTCGGCTGCATGATCCTCGAAGACTGTGGCGTTCCCGTCCGGTCTTTGCTGGACTCGGGGTCTGCGGACGAGGTCCTGTTCTGGTACGTCGTTCAGATGCCTCTCCGGAGTATCGTATGGCACGGCTGACGGTCTCTACAGCACCCGCCTTGTAGCCCTCGTCTACGAGCTTCACAAACGAGGCGTGGTTCATAATCAGATCGAGGACAGACATGTCTTGCAGAAGGACGGCTGGCCGTACGTTGTCGACTTCAGCAAGGCCACGTCGGACCACGACTGCCCTCATAAGTCCGGTAACTTGGATGATCAAAACTACGGCGCGGCCATGCATCCTCCTGAGGAGGAGTTTGGCTGTAAGGAGATCTACGAGGTTTGCCAAGAGACGGGGATGTGGTTACCGAGTACGCGATCTACTCTTTACTTCTTATGGACTCGCAGCTGAGCGATCCGACAGTGGACTTGCGCTGCGACGGCCATTTCTGGACTGCCAGCGTGTTCGTGGACAATCCCTGGGCGTTGGCCGACAGGCTACTGGATGGAGGCTCGCTTCATGACGAGATGGCGCCTCAGTACACCGCTCGTCAGGCTCTCACCCTGGCACACGAAGCTATCTGCGACTATTACAAGAAGTGTTTGCCCGCACGCGGCGTAGAGTATGAAGGTGCGGTGTTTGGTCTGTCGCCATCTGCTCTGGTAATGCTTACGTATCGATAGATGATCTTAGCATGAACTTGGAGAAGTATTGTCGGGAGTACGAGAACGAGGTTGCTCGGCGTTCTTTGCTGGAGTGAACTCTAGACGGTTGGTCTCTTTTTGTCGCTCGCATAGCGTGCTCATCATGATCCCTTGTCGTATGTGTACTGTCATAGAGCTGTCCCGGCGCGATCTCTTAGATTCTATGGACCAAATGTACACTCGAGCACTGACATGAGAACCTGAACGAGCGTCGCAGAATGCAACTATTTCAAGTGTAGTGCGATTCATGTGCCCGCAGGTGTTGAAACGGGTTTCTGCAGTGAATAATCCTGACCGCGACACCGCGCACTGTGCGCGTGACGCAATATCGCCCTGAACAAGCGACGGTAGGTTTGGCTGACCCTAACCCTAATGTAGCGCCGACGTCGCGTTTACGGACGAACGCGTGCGTCCACACTCGCTCTTGACCACCATCTGAAAGTTCACGGACTTCAATAACAAGCCACTTTACATCCGTCTGTGTGCTAGCGCCGGCGATTCTGCTCTTCAGCGTGCACATTCGGGTGTCTCTGTTCGATGTCTGTCATAGTCGACGTTCAATGCTACAAACGTGACTGGGAAAGCAAGCTAGTCCTCCAGGAGGCAAGGTTATAGTGTCACTCGGCACCCGCGCGGGAGATAAGCTGAGCGGCGGGACAGAGGACTGGACCTCACTGTGTGCGTGCAGCTATCATTTGCGCGCTAGAGAGTAGCTGATGGTTTGCGTATAGGTTTTGCCCTCGTCGTCCTTGATGCGCCATCTACGGGCTAGTAGGGATGTGCTACTGCACTCAGTACGACCAGCGACAAAGGTTCGTCCGCACATTCTCCATCCTATCATGCTCGGACTGAGATGATCCATAGATCGTGCGCTCTGCGCCAGCGCGGATCCCAGTCATGGGCTGACCCGCTAGCAGCCTCGTTCCGTCCGCAATGCGCTTCGAAGCCAGACGCAGTGTTGTCGCGGGTTCATCATTGAGTTGAACGGTCACTATACAGCCCTCGGGACTAGGCGACCTCTACACGCACAACTCGTTCTTCCTCTAGCTCAAGACGCTCCACCATCGCATCAAACCGGTCATACATCCCCTGCACACACTCGCGCCATGCCTCCCTCCCTCACTTCCGCCGACATCCGCCACACCGACTCAGCCGGCGACCTCGAGGTCCATTTGGACTCGTGCGATCCGGGGTGGGAGTACGCGCCCGTGACGGATACAGCGAGTTCGAGGGCTCCTACGGACGCGTATACTCTAGAGGCTGGCACACGCTTCAAGAACGGTGTCCCGGCCAATGATATATGGGTGTACCGCGGTACGCTGATCCGGACGTCCGAGACGATTGGGGTCGTGGTCAGGGTCGCGTTGACGGACGAGGCATTCAAGGATCTTGTCCATGAGGGCCGGTTTTACTGCGAGCAGCTAGATGCTGTGCCGAGTGTACCGGTCCCGGTGTGTTATGGTGCGCATCGCGTACTTGATACGGCCCTCGTTGAGGAGAAGATGCACGCGTATGGATGCCTTGCGCTTGAGGATTGTGGGGAGGCGCTGGGGTCGTTCGACGTGAAGGTGGATGACGAGTTTCGGTATGTCTGCCTTCGCAATGCGGGTTACATCGTCTGATATACGTCGCAGGTTATGCCTCGTCAACGCCATTTGCACTCTCCACACCGCTCAGATCATCCACGGCCAGCTCGATTCTCATCATATATTACTGCGCGACGGCCGGCCTTACATCGTCGACTTCAGTCGAGCCAGTATCGGTCATGTCTGTGGCAGCTCTCAGTCGTCATTACGAGTTGAAGAGGAGCGCCTGTTCAAGTTTGGACGTAAAGTAGATCCCGAGAAGAATATGTTCGGTTGCGATGAGCTGTATGGAATCTTGAATGCCATGCGTGTTTGGAGACCTGGTATGTTTCCAGATATGCTTGGTGAGCCGATATGACGAGGCTGACTTGGCCGTTTATTCAACTCCAGCGACGCTAAGAATGTGCGGCTCAGACCACTGGGACGCGCGACTGATCGAATACCCGCAAGCGCTAGCCGACGAGGCTCTAGCATGGTAAGACGGACTCACTGCACCAGAGGCATTTGAAGTCGCGCATGAGGCTATACTCAAGTACTACCAAGAGTGGCTTCCTGACTCGGATGAAACTGAGCGTCAGGAAGGTGAGTGTGACGGACCATCTTTTCCCGTGGTAGGCTGCGCTTACGAGGGAAATGAACAGCGTACATGCGAGGATCGGTGTATCGAGCTGATCTAGAAGCTTACGCGGGGATGGTGGCCGGACGGTAGTTGTGTTGCGGACGGTTGTACTTAGATATGTATGATAGTACCAGAAGGATTCCAGTCAGAGTAAGTACTTAGCAATGAGCATCCCGAGATTGCTATCGTCGTCAGTGAGCGCTAGCACTGCTACAGAGGAGAGGTGTCACGATCGGCACGTGACTGGGAGGGGGGGGGGAAATACATTTTTATACCGCATCATGTAACTACGACAAATAGCGGTTGTAGACTACTAAACGTAACCTACGAATCATTCGAAAGATTTGTATGAGAGGAAGTATATGAGGTATCGTAGGAGGCCTTTGCACTGAAGGGAGTCGTACAGTATTTACAGTACGATGCGTATGAGGTGCTGGAGATGGAAATAGCATAATGGACATAATAGGCATAGGGAAAAAGCATAGACTCAACGAAATCGATGTGGGCTCGGGACCTTAGGGTTCATCGACGGGCTCGGGGGGAGACTTGGCGAAAGCGCGCGAGGTGGCGATAAACTTGGCGAGAGCCTCGAGGCCACTACGGGTGCCGAGGAGGATTGCGGAGGATATGTTGGGCGAGACTGCGCGGAGGAAATGTCTTCCACGCTCGTATAGGGGGCAATCTGCGAGGATGTGCTCGCGGGTTTGGACCGGCGCCTCGCCGCACGGACAAGCCGTGACTTCGGTTGGAACGAAGCGCGCGTAGTAGTCGCCGCGGAAGCCGTGACCGGTGATTGTTTGGATGATGCGTGTATGAACGTCGCGCGGTCCGGAGAAATGTTTGTGGAAGGGTGAGAGGGTGGTAGATGGTGGTACTACGTCGCCCAGCGCAATCGCGGCGAGATTGGTGTGAGGGTGGGCTGACCATTCGCGGCGCCACTCGCGAACGGCTGAACGCTTGACCTGTTCGCGCGCCCACATCAACAAACCGTGAAGCCAGGTCAAGTGCTTGGTAGGGCTTCAAGCAACTCAAGCAATTCAAGCGATGCAAGAGCTTTTGCAAGATGAATCAGGTCTCGAGCGCGT